GGATTTTAATATTCGATGACGTAGATGACGACAAAAAAAGTATGAAAATTATTCAAATAATAATAATAATAATAATAATAATAATAATAATAATAATAATAATAATAATAATAATAATAATAATAATAATAATAACGGAAAAGTAACGGAAATCGTTTGAATTTTTTTTCCCACGCGCACTCACTCACGCACACGCACACGCACAACGAATTAATGACGTTTTTTTTAAACGCGTAATTTAAATTCATTATCACCGAATTACTCATTTTATTTAAACGTTTTTTTTTTTTTTTTTGTTTTAAGGTCAATCGCCGCCGCCATTATGCGTTTGTCTGTGTGTTTGTTGTCGACAATGTTTTTTTTTTTTTTTTTTTTTTTTAACCTTGTGCATTGTTTTGTTTTTTCATCCCCTATTAATATTGGTGTCGTAAAACGTTGTTTGTTTGTTTGTTTGTTTTCCACTCTTTCTTTCACTAATCTGTTCTTGTAAAAAAAGCAAACGGAAAAAAAAAAGATGGCGGTACAGAATCGATGTTTCCCCGATGAAAGACGAGAGAGAGAGAGAGAGAAAGAGAGAGATTCGATACGTATTGTTGTTGTTGTTGTTGTTGTTGATGATGATGATGATGATGATAACATTTTTAATTTTTTCCTTCGATTAATTCGTTTTCACTTTCAAAACACTAATAATAATGATGATAATAATAATGATAATGATAATTCAGTTTTTTTTTTTTTTAATCGAAACGAAAAACTTTTTCTTTTTGTATAATTTTATTGACCGTGACAGGATAGTAGGATTATCATCATCATTATTATTATTATTATTATTATCATCATCATCATTATCATCAACGTTTTCTCATCATTAAATTCTCTCTGGTGTGAAAATTAAAAAAGAAAAAAAAGAAAAAAGTAATTTGTTACTTTTTTTTTTTTTTCTTACTCTTTCACGCGATCCATTTGTTTTTTTTTTTTTTCTTTTGTTTTCTTCTCATAGAGTAACAAAACACATGTGTACGAGTCGTTCCATTTCGTAACATTTTCTTTTTCGTCTGCTTTGTTTTCTCTCACTATCCCCTCTACCTTTCTCTTACTCCCTCTCTTCTTCCACTTTTTACTTTTTGACATTAACCGAATCTTGGTATTATACAACCGAATGGTTTTTCTTCTGCTTCTTCTTCTTCTTCTTGTTCCGGTTAATAATAATTTTTCCTCTTTTTCCGTCACCGCCTTCTTGCAAAAAAAAAATTTTCCCCGTATTTGTACGGTGGAATCGAATGAATCGAATAAGGATCCAAACAATCCATCGTCATTTTGATTGATTGATTTTATCGGTTGGAAAAGTTTTTCATTTTGTTTTTCCCGCCATTTATTTCATCTATCCTTTTCTTTTTCTTTTTCGTTTTCTCTTTCGATCGAGCCTCGATTGTTTTGTTTAAAAATTTTTTTCCTTTGTTTGTACGACCCAGAAAAATGGTTTGTTTATATTTTCGCAAACCTCCTACCTGTAACCCGGTTTTTCGAATTCATTTTTCTTATTTGATTTAACCTGTTTTTTTTTTTTTATTAAATATTTACCGCGTAATCGTTGTTATTATCATTATTATTACTATTATTATTATTATTTGGTTTTTCCTTTTATAAAAGTACTTGTACGGTTTCGGTCTTTTTAAAAAAAGTAAATCAAATTACAAAGTTTAATTTCTTTTTCTTTTTTCTTTTGAGAGAGAGAGAGAGAGAAAGAGGATTAAGGTCTTTTCCTTTCCTTTTCTTTCCTTGTTCCCTTTTGACCTTTTTTTTTCTTCATCCTCTTATATTTCTCTCTCTCTCTCTCTCTCTCTCTCTCTCTCTCTCTCCTTATTCTTCTTATTCGTTTCAAAGAGTCTTTTAAAAAAGTCGGTACAAATTGCATTCAACGCCATCTTTTATTAACGAGAAAAATTAATTTTTCGTTTTTTGTGTGTGTGTGTGTGTTGTCTTTTTTTGTAATCGTTTTTTTCGTCATGGAGTAAATAAACGCGAGGGGAGAGGTGGGGGTGGAAGGAAGAAAGGGGGGAATAAGAAGGTGAAAACGTAAAAATAATTTTAAAACGTGTAAGTAGTAAAAGTGCATTAAAAAAAAAAAAAAAAAAAAAAACGGTTCGATGCACACCGTTTGAGTTTAAATTCACCATTTCGAATTTTTTTGGTTTGTGTTTGTTGTTGTCGTTGTTGTGTTTGTTGTTGTTGTTGATTATTTTTAATCGAAAGAATTTTACTCGGCCGTTTTGACGGCGGCCATTTTGAATCAAAATATTTATAAATATTTCTTTTTATAATATTTCCCAAAAGGGACTCGATTCAATTTCTCTTTCGCTCTCTCTCTCTCTTTCTCTCTCTCTCTCTCTTTGTGCGTTGTTTTTTTTTGTTGTCTTTTCGAGTGTTAACGTCTTTTGACGTGTAAATAATTTATCTTTTTTTTCCCCGATGGACATTTCAATAAAGATGGAGTCGTGCGAAATCTCTCTCTCTTTCTCTCTTCCTCTCTTCCTCTCTTTCTCTCTCTCTCTTCCTCTCTTTCTCTCTTTCTTTCTTTCAAAAATGCGTTCGTTTTCGATTTTGACATTTCAATCGTTTTTTTATTTTCGTTTGTTTTGTTTGTTGTTGTTTGTTGTTTTTGTTGTTATGGTTTTTCCATTCGATGATCTCCCGTTCGAAAAATAAATTTTTTTTTTTTTATTTTAAATTTTATTCTCGAGGGGAGGGGGGAAGAGAGAGAAAAAAAATCGAAGGTGAGGAAGGCGGTGGTGGTGGTGGTGATGGGGGCGAGGGCGGTGGTCGTTGTGCAAAAAATTTATTTTTTTTTAATTGAGGAAAATAAAAGGGAAAAAGTCCGAAAAGGGGTAAAAGGTTGATTGATGAACCCTTTTTCCTTTTACTTCTCTCTCTCTCTCTCTCTCTCTCACTCTCTCTCTTTTTCACATTCATTAACTTTAACGTTTTTCTCTTTGTCTTTTTACTTAACCTTTTCTTCTTCATACCTTTCCGCCATTTTTGTTTTTTTTTTTTTTTAAATATATTTATCGTCGTTGGTTGTTTTTGACATTTTCGTAAATTATTGTTTGTTGTTTTCCGGTTTGTTTTATTTTTTTTTCTCCTCCAGTTTTCCAGTGCTCAAATTAATAATAATAATAAGGATGATAGCGACGATGACTATAATAATAATAATAAACCAAAAAAAAAAAAAAGTTTTTTCTTCCCCGTCATCTGTTGAATATTTTTTTTTTTTTTTTTTTTGTAAAAGGAAATAATAAGAAAAGGAAAAAAATAAAAGGAAAAAAAAAAAAAGATTTTAGTTAAAAGTCGTAAAATTTTTACGAAATTCACGAAGAAGATTTCATGTCTGTAGGGAAAAATAAAAATGAAAAGAAAAGAAAAACATAAAAAAAAAACTTAGCAGTTGATTATTGTTTTCTTTTTTAATAAAAACATACGAAAGAAAGAAAAAAAAAAAAAAAGGGGCATCAAACAAAAATTTTTTTTTTTAATAATCTAACGTAATGTAATAAACGGGGAAGGGGGGAGGGCAAAATCCCTATTTTATAATGAATGATGATCGTGGCAAAAGATTTTTTAAATTATTATATTATATTTTTAAATTATTTATTATATTATAATATATTTTTGATGATGATGATGGTGGTGATAATGATAATGACGATGACGATGACGATGATGATGATGATGATGATGATGATGATGGTGGTGATAATGATGATGACGATGACGATGACGATGACGATGGTGGTGATAATGATGATGACGATGACGATGACGATGATGATGACGATGATGATGACGATGATGATGATGATGATGATGATGATGATGATGATGATGATGATGACGATGATGATGACGATGATGATGATGATGATGATGATGATGATGATGATGATGATGATGATAATATTAACGCACTCAAGAGAAAATTTAGTAAAATTTTTATAGAGTAAACATCGAAACAAGAACAAAAACAATAATAAAAATAAAAGAAGGGGGGAGGAAGGAGAAATTTGAGGAAAATTTTCCTTGTTTAAAAAAAAAAAAAAATCGATACAAACGAACAAACGGACAAAGGAAAAATAATAAACGAATAAAAAATAGGACAAAAGTGGTAGGACAAAAATAAAAAATAAAAAATAAAATTGTTTGAAAGAAACATGTTGTTGTTTGTTGAATGCGTGCATGCGTGCGTGAGTGCGTGCGCGTGTTTAAATGCTGCAGAAAGAGGGAGAGAGAGATGGGGAGAGGGTGGGAGAGAGAGGTAGAAAAAAATTTATTTATTTTTATTTATAAATTCGATGAAAGGAAAAAAGAAAAAAAAATATTTTTTTATTATTTTTATCTTTTTTTTTTGTTTTGTTTTTTTTCTCTCTCTCTACTCAGGGTTGACAACTTTCAAAATACAAAAAAAAAAAAAAAAAAATTTCCAAGTGTTTATTACGACGTCATCATTTTAACTTTTTCCTTTTTTTTTTTTTTTGATTATCGATTCAATTTTATTTTATTTTTCCAAAGTTCGAAAAAAAAGAAAATAAAACTTTGATGAAAAGGTCGAAACCGGAAAAGGAAAAAAAGTGACAGCAAATTTAAAAAAAAAAAAAAAAAAAATGGCACGTTTTAACGTGGAAGAAGAAATGATGAAATTTATTAAAATAAATTTTTTTTTATACTTTTCCTCTCTTCGAAACTGTTTTTTTTTTTATTGTAATAAAATCAATTAGGGAGTCGTCAAAGTTATAAATTTTCACGTGTTGAACGTCTTCTGCTCTTTCCCTCTTACCGTTTCCTCCCCCCATGTTAGTTACACGTTCGCTTCCGGTTATGATGATGATAACAATAATAATAATTTTCCTTTCGGTTTTTTCGTTTTTTTGGTTTTTGTTTTTTGTTTTTTTTTTTTTCTCGTACGGGAACCGCCATTTTAATTATTATTATTATTATTTTTGTTTCAGTTATTGGGCCTTGGAATATTAGCAATTGGAATTTGGGCCTGGAGCGAAAAAGACACTTTTAACAATTTGAGTCGCCTTACGAACGTAGCATTAGATCCAGCATTTATATTGATATTAATAGGTAAGATGACAATGGCTACAACTACTAGGAATGGGAGAAATGAAAATTAAAACGTTTTAAAAGGAGGGGGAAAGGAGGGAGGGGAGAGAGAGAGAGAAATCAGAAAAGCTTTTTTAAGAAAGATGGGGATGAGGAGAAAACAAAGAGAGAGAGAGAGGGGGGGGGGGAGAAAAAAATGAGAATAAGAAATTTAAAATGGAGGAAAGAAAATAAAAAAGATGAAAGAAAATTTGGGGTGATTGGGGGGGGGGAAACTGGGGGGACATTATTGTTCTTTTTTTTCCTAAAAAAAAAAAAAGGCCTTTTGTTAAATTTCAATAGATTGAACAAAAAAAAAAAACCATAAAAGAAAAAAAAATGAAAGAAAGAAAGAAAGGAAGGAAGAAAAAGAAGGAAAAAAATCGGTGGTGGTTTTTTTTAATTTTATCCCAAAATGGTGGATGCGATGGCGAGTGGGGGGAGAGGGGAGAAGAAAGAAGAAGAGGGGGAAGAGAAAGAAGCGAGAAAAAAAAGGTTTTTTTTGGGGGGGGGGGAGGGAAAAGAAAATTGTTCTCTTACTCCTTTCTCCTTCCTCCCCTTTCTCTCTCTCTCTCTCCCCCTCCACGTCGTCGACATCGTGAAAAAGATGGCAGGAGGGAGGGGGAGGGAACGAGGGAAATTCGAAAAGGTCGAATGAGTCCGAGGAGTTGAAAACGGAAACGATGAATGAAAAAATTCATACCTTTTGGGAAAATTAAATTTTTTTCAAAAAAAAAAAAAAAGTGTAAAACCTTTTCTCTCTCTCTCACTCACTCTCGTTATTATCTAAATTCTTTCTTTCTTTTTTTATTTTGTTGAATAAATAAGCGGGGGGGGGTGGAACCGACCGAACGGCCGGTTTTATAGGTTTGCATAATCATTTCGTAAAAGGTTTTTTACTTTCAATATGGATGATGTGGGAATCCCTTTGGAAAACTCTTTCATTTTATTTTATTTTATTTTTTTCAGGTACGGTGACGTTTATAATTGGATTTGCGGGATGCGTGGGAGCACTTAGGGAAAATACTTGTTTGTTAGCCGCCGTAAGTGTCGTCACGTGATTAAAAAGTCGACGGTTGACGTCACGTAACGTCGTAACGTAACGCGGAACCTTTGTTCGTAACGTTTTTTTTTGTTTTTCCAGTACGCCATTTTTCTAGCGATATTACTCCTTTTGGAAATGACGGTAGGAGTTTTAGGTTTCATATTTAAAGATTCGATAAAAGCTCAAGCAACTCACGGCTTCCAAGTTTTCATAAAACATTACAGGGAAGATCCTGATCAGCAAAATTTAATAGACTGGATTCAGGAAGACTGGGTAAGGCGGCGTTGCCGGACTTAAAGGTTTTTGTAAATGTATGTAAAAAAAGGGAGAAGGTTGTTGTAATGTTGTCGTCTTGTTCTTTTGTTTTCTTACAGCTGCAATGTTGCGGTATCGAAGGACCCAAAGATTGGGATAGAAATAATTATTTTAATTGTTCTTCGAGAGAAGTCGGAAGCAGAGAAGCTTGCGGAGTACCGTTTTCTTGTTGCAAAAGAAAACCTAACGTGAGTCACGTGGAAATTTTTTTTTCCCCTTACATTCCTTAATACTACCCTGATTTTCCATTCCTTTTTACACCGTCGTAAAGAAGATTTGCCCAATGACGAAAATCGTACGAACAAATCGTGCAAATCGTTGAATACGATTAAAGGCATTACGTAAAACTACAAAGTTTTTTCTTCCTCCCCCCCCTCCCCCCTCGGCCTCCTTTTCCTTTGATGACGTCATTCACTCACACCCACGATAAAACCCACACGAATCCCCGAGGCTAATTTTTTCTTTTTTTTCTTTTAGGAAATAATTAAGAATAAGCAATGCGGTTACGATGTTAGAAAACCGGGTTACGTAAGTATCAACATCATCATCATCATTATTATTATTAGTATTATTATTACTACCACCACCACCGCGACCACCACTACTACTACTACTACTACTACTGCTACTACTCTTTTTTTTTGATAGGGTATTTCCCCGTATTATCCCTTTTCCTTCCTCCTTCGAGATATCGAACGATATCAATTCGATTAGAGTAATTAAGGAAATTAAAAAATGATCGGGAGGAGTCGAAAAATGAAAAAAGTACGAGGGGGGAGGGGGTGATGAAAATGCTAATTGTATCCGCGGATTCGAGTTCGAGAATTTTTTAAATTTCGATTATCGAATTAGAAAAGCGATTAGTCAGTTAAAAAAGTTTATAACATAATTAATGAATTATTAACGTGGTTTCTGCTGCTGTTGCTGCTGCTGCCGCTGCTGCGGATGGTGTGTTGTTGTTGTTGTTGTGTTTGTTTTTGTTGACGTTCTTGTTTTTCCTG